TAATAATAGTAATGATAATAAGTCTTGCCCTGCCACCCCTTTAAACCCGATATTGACAAAAGTGATCTCCTTTAATAATAATTTCTTTGCAAATATAGTTTATTTCAGGACTGCTTTAAACTTAGTTATTCATGAAACAATTTTATTGTTTTAATTTTTTCCCAAAATTTTAACTATTATAATTAAGCAGTAAAATTAAAAATTTTGTTCTGCTATTTTTAAATAAAATTTTCCAAATCTAAATAACAAAAGTCCTCAATTGTGTAAAAATGTGGACAAATATTAGAGAAATGGACGGATTATTCTTTAAATAATATTAGGAAATTAATAATACCGCCGTAATGTATGCAATGTACATTATTTATTATTGTAGATTCATAATGTAGATGGTTTTAATAATATACTATTTATTTTTTAGTTTCATCAAAGAGCTTAAACGTCATCCATAGAGTTTTGTTTAGCAAAATTTCTTGAATAATACCGTATTTATGTTAGCAATGTTCTATATTTAAATTTACAAATATATTTATATTATAAGTAAAATTTTTGCTTACAATATAGCTTCCTACTATATTTAATGCTTTAAAATCTAGTGTAATTGAAATTGTTGTTCCAGTTTAAATGTTGATGTAATACCACAATTTCACAAATCTATAAGAACATTAAGAGCAAAATAATTCTAACTAGGAAAGATGGAAAACTATGAGCTACATTTTTTTCAAATGAATGAAGCTTCAAATATAAATAACTTATAAAATTTGTTTTATAATGCAATTTTAACAATTTTATTTTCTCGTAGCGGCAATATCCCGAATGGAAATAAATTTTACATTCTGTAGCTTCTTCTTCTTTTTTTGTTAGTCTTAATAAAACACTAAAATTATTTTCGAAAATTTTTTACTCACCAATATATAATAAGGCATACTTACGTATTTATTTATACTTTTATATAGATTTTTATTCAAAATTGAATACAAATATTTTGTTTCTCCAGTAATCAGTTCGCATGTCGACTTTTTTAATTACATTGATATAAACAGTCAAGTAATTTTACATTTAATCATAAATTAAAATATCTTTTGATGGTTCTTTCCTTGAGAATATATTTTTACTAATATTTAAAATTTATGCTCTAATGAATTTTTAATCCTAATCAAGTATAGTTATTGATTTGTTAGTTTAAATTTTCTTCTATTTTATACAAGTGGAATTCTTTGTATATTTTTCATGCGTTCATATAATTTTATTTTTTTCTTATTCAAAAGTAATTAGCAGCAATACGTTTGTAAGATTACACATAAATACAAAGAAAAAAATAAATAAATACACGTATTGGTTGTTTATTATCGACTTTTGTATACCCTACACCTATTAGTATCGAATAAAAGTTTTAAATAAAAATTTCTTGTAATTATTTTATAGATCAGTTACCTAATATACTGAAAATTATGATTTTTGTTGAAAATTATTAATATGAATTCTAATTGAATTTTAATTAATGGCAACATAATCTTCAGTACCGATACGATTTATGGACATTACATGATACTGCATTGATGAACTAAACAGAATTTTATTTTAGAATTTAATAAATTATAATTAAGGCATTATCATTAAACATGAATATAATAAAGGAAACCATTATACTAAAAGATTACCTTGCATGTTAAATATACTATTAACTAAAGATTATTTTGAATTTAAGCCAAATATTGTCTTATTCGGACTATTAAAATTTAATAATTCTAAATGGAATTCTCACATTTTATTCGTATAGATCTCAAAATTCTATAATATTTCAACAAACCCTTAAGGTAGGGTGTAACAATTTATAAAATAAAAAAAAATAATTTCTATTTTTATTTTCATCTTTTCTTTTTCTTTTTCTTTTAATTAATAGCGTTTAATCAACTTCTAATCGAAATAAATATACGTTACTTTGTCATAAAAAGGAAAGAGAAAAACCTGTAAATTATTTAATATAAGAAATAAAACACTGTTGAAATTAAAATGCAGCTTGCAAAATCTTTTAAGCATTAGGCCTTTCCATTACACGTTTGTGTATTAAATACTAAAGGGACTTTACTTTATACAGTCTGCATTATTATTTATATAGAGAACTCATGAGAATAAAAAAATTTTTTAGAATCCACACTAATTATTTAATATGACGATCACGTATTACGTATTTATTTTCTTCAAATGCATTAACGTTTTTTTATTATATAATAGAATACTTGATTTTGAAATTAATACTATGCGTGCAAAATTCTTACCGGTAAAAATTTCAAAGTAAAATTAATAATTTCCGCCACATTTCTAAGTGTCTTGATTCACGTTTTGTCTTTATTGAAAGTGAAAATTACAAAAAAATAATAATTAATATTGTCATCTAATTGAATTTCGAATTGCATTTGTCTGTCATACTAGATGTAAGAACTTTAATATCTGTAGCAAAAAAAATAACTAAAAAAGGCATAGAAAAACTACATTGCGTAATGTTCCCAGTCGTTATTTGCTTACTTTCTTTCAAGTTCATCTTGTAAAAATTTGACAAAACATATTTTTTTTTTACCAAAAATGTAAGTTCCTTTTTTGATAATAAATTTCATTTAAGTTAGAATTAATAAATTGGTCCTGTTTATGCAAATCTGCCAAAAGGAGATTAAAATAAAAACGAGAAAAAATAGAGTTGACCGTGTGACCCGTACGAATCTATTATCGTATGTGTGAATAAATATGCCATAGCTGACTATGGGACTGACTATAACTTTAAGTTATCATATTAATTTATGTAAAATTTCAGTACTGTGTCAATATTTTTTAAGATGGCCAAACTACTATTGAAGTTGTATGGCAGCTACCAGAAAGAGCCAAGCAATTTCAACGAATTTTATCAAACACATTGGTCCTACTAATTTATTCCTTTGTGTGAAATTTCAATACCGTAGCTTTTATAGTTTCTCAGATATAGCCAAATAACTTTTGAAGTTGTATGGCAGCTACCCGAACCAGTACCCCGATCATATCCAATTTAAATAGGATTCTAGCATTTACTATGTTGAACCATTTCTTATCGAACATACGTTCGTACGGGTATAATCATCTCACAAATCTAAATTTAAAATTCAATATTATTTCTGATACGTTACTAAAAATGACAATAAACGTTACTATTCTAACTTTTTATTATTTTCAGATTCAAGTGTTCAATATTATTTATAATAATCTTTAAAAATATACCAAAACTACGTGCTAAGGAAAATAACGAGAACTGTGGGTAACACTGTTGTTATATGTATACAAAAACATAAAAAGAACTCAAAAACTTGAACTAAAAAACTAGTTCAACTATTTGTAACGAAATAAAATTGTTTAAATTTTTTAATTTTCTCGTTCAACAAAACTTAACTTATTTCCGAAAATATGTGATGATTTTTTAAAACGGATGCAAAACAAATACGTTACAACTCGTTCGGTGGTCTGCATACACGGAATTAATTTTGAGGAATTAAATGTTTTAAAGGTTTTTTCGATGAAACAAGATTTTTGAGTTGCAATTCTTTTATACATCAGCGATTTACTTTTTTCAAGAGGTTGAATTAAATCGGAAGCTCATTTATTTTGCATCCGTAATAATTTGTATGTACAGTACGCACATTTCATGCATATGTGAATTATTGTTCTAAATATTAATTCTACCAAACAATTATTTTTATATTGTATTTCTGTTGCAGCCAAACTTTCAATGCTGAAAATTTTGTTTTTCACGTGAAGCAGATTTGGTTTGATGCTTTTTTCATAAAAACTTCTTTTCTTACTTTTCTTACAGACAGGAATCAATCTATGACAACATTCATTCAATAAATATTTTCTTCATCTCCTAAACTTATACAATTTATGATTTCTTTTACAATTTTTGTTTTTCTAATTTAATCTTTGCCTAAATTTATGCAAGATTTTCATTCTTTTTTTTCTTCTGTTTTGCGACATTCTTTTCTAAATGGGCTGGATATGTTTCTTCTTGTGTGATTTTTGACACATTAGCTATATTAAAGTTAATCATAATATCTTTGCTTTGAAAATTCCAAATTTTATTAACAAGCAAAAGCTTTGAAGAGAAATATATTTATACATTATGTATATAACGTATAATTTAGCCTTTGGAATTAAAGGGAGAAACACCGATTTAAAATTAAAAATAGTTAAAAATAAATTTGTAATTTGTAAAGGAATGCTACACAGAACGTGAAATTATTATCATTTACGAATGCTACACAGAACGTGAAATTATTATCATTTATGATAAGAGCCTTAAGAGAACTCATTTGAATTATTTGTTTGGAATTAGTTTATGATTTCGATCAACTCCAATATTAATAATATTCTGTTTTCTTTTTTTATAAATTTTCAAAAATTAATTCAAACTTTTTGCAGGTCAATAATCCAGAAGGAGTTGTTAAAATTTTGCGAAGATTGAGAAGAATTTTGAATGTAAAATAAGATTAAATTAAAACATCCTCTACCGTTTTCATGAAGTCAAGTAAAGTCAATCGCCACTGTACACATTCACAATACATACATAATTATTTTCTATGTAATAAACACACATTCATTCACTTGCAACTTCCACAGTGTTTTGCCTGCTATTGTATTCACAATTTTTTGATAATCCTTATCAAAATAAAGATAGTACGATTTTATCGCACATTCAATTATGATAGCAAATAGATACTCAGCCTTTATTTATCTTTATTCTTAATATTCAGTATTGCTGATTCTTTTAAACGTTATGATTAAATATTTAAAATAGAAGTAAATTAAATGAAATAGCGGAAAATAAGATGTTATAAAATGAATAAATTTCAAATTTTATTAATTATTCTCAATTCAATTTGTAATGGTTATTTTATTCTGCAAAAAAAAATTAAATAATTAAATTTTTAAAATTAATTGAATTGTAATTTTTTGATTTTTTTTCTTCCTGATATTCTTTTTAGTATTTGTTACTATAAATGCACAAACGGGTTCCATTTTGTCCACACAAATTAATTATAATGAAACAACAACAGAAGCAATTGAAACTTCGACAAATAGTGTAAATAAAAATTATAATAATAATAATGAAAGTGAATTAAATTTAGATAAGATTAATGAATCTACAATTCGCGTTACACAATCAAGTACTTTGCAAAAATTACAACTTTTAGGTCGAAATTCAATAGTTCCAAATATAATATCGTCTAAATCTAGTCATTGGGAACAAGAAGAAATAAACGATCAAAATCATCATGAAACTAATTCTTCTGAACCAGAAGAAAACTGGATAAATATCACTTTAGCCGGACCATATCCTGTTCCAACAAAGAAAATTTACAAGTAAGTTGAATTTTTATTAAAATTTCCATATTAACTTTAAATTTAAAATTTAAAGAAATTGGTGTATCTACTTACAATTTAAAATTTATCTATTTATATAAAAAAAAAATAAAATCACAATGATAAAATTTATGATATCGAAACTTTAACAGGTAATGGAAATACGTAATTAACAACTTTAATGATAGTAATGTACGAGTACATGTATACAAACTTATTTGTTTTTTACTATTTTCATAAAAATTGCTTATCACATTAAATTGTTTAAAGACCAACCTGAAATTAAAGGCAAGTTAAAATGTAGCTACATATTTTAAACTCGAATTTTAAACTCTAAGGCACACGTTAATAAATTTAATGCTATAGAGCATAGAGTGCTAGGAATTTAACGTACAGAAAAAACTGTTAAATGCAGACTCACAAATTATGTAGCTGACTGAAACTCAGATTATATTTTATATTAACTTTGTTTTGAACAAATACCCTAAGATAGTCAAATTCTTAGTGAAGTTATTTCTAAACTAATTGTTCGTTTTATTTTTTCAGTATTTCCATTGATTCTGGAAGTGATATAGAAATATATATCAGAAAACTTGATATTCATCCAACAAAAGATTTTCTTAAATTAACACTTAAACCAGAACAAAATGACATTAGTAATGGGAATAATGTAGCAATAATATCAGTTCAACCCCTTATTTTAACAGGATCATTAAAGGAGCAATTAAAATTAAAAGCTATCGAATGCACAAATGTACAAATAGAATTTACAGCTCTCGAACGTGATACTGATGATACAAAAAAGAATTATGAAGGTTTTTTTATATCATATAGACCATCTGGTGAAAAATTATTACCAGCTACATCACCACCTGATGTGACAGTACCATTTGATGAATTAGAAACTCTAAGTACATTATTAGTTGTAAAAAGATCAGAACAATATAATGAAACTTGGATTAAAATGAAAGAATTACTTTGTAATGCAACCAATCAATATTTACAAATATCATCAAATAATTATTTGGAACCATGTTATCCACATAATGTAACATTTACAACAGTTGTTCATTGTCCACAGAATTGGCCAAAATCATCCGATTGTATTGAATTATATTTTGCTGTACAATTATATCCAGATTTTAATTCTATTACAACAATAGATCCATTTAAATCAGTTTTATTTGTAAGAGAACCAGGTGGTTTAAATAAAACTTTATTATCTGAAATGTGGGATAAAACTGGTCGAATGATATTTAAACAAGCCGGTTATCCAGAATATGATAAAGCTAGTCCAAATGAACAGTTAATGATGTGGTTAAGTATTGGTGTTGGAATTATGTTAATAGTTTTTATTGTTGCTATAGCTCTCCTTAAATCTGATATAATTAAAAATAAATGGGTTGCTTTAGAGGAAGAGGAAAAAAAAGAATATAAAAATCAAAATGATATTGACATAACGATGTATCCTTCACCAGATCAAGTAGTTCCTGAATTGTTTCCTGGCCACCCAAATGTATATGGAAATGAAATTGGATACAATATTGATAATGGTCGAATACCATCTATTTCTGAAACTAGAATATCAAGAGATATTGAAAGTACTCAAATGATTGAAGAAGGTAAGATGAGAATTGAAAGTTCCAATACATAAATTCTCTGTAATTCGTAGTTACTTTTTAATAATTAACTTGTAACTACTTTCACTTACGTTTTTCCAAAATTTCCTTTTTGGAAACATATGCGATTTCTAATTTCCTTTATGATCTTATATAATATAAAATTTTCGAGTAATAAATTGCGCACAAATAACCAAAACGGTATTACTTTACAATTTTGTAGTAAGCTATAAGTATTTGCAGTAAGTATACTGATCGTTATTTGCAAAGTTGCGAGTCAAATATTTGGCATGATGTTTCAAATAAAAATAATTTTACTACACAAAACTTCGTTAAAAACTTTTGCTCACAATCGCAAGTATTTTTGTAAAAACAATGTTAAAAAATTGTAGGCTTACAATGATCTTTTTTTTATTTTTAATTAATTAAGCTATCACTATCTCGTAAACTAGACGACCTATACTATCTCGTCCATTAATATACATTGAAAATACAATTCATCTTTCCAATTGCCGTGTTTTTTATCGTACAACATAATTACTCTTCGTACAGTAGCTATTTTCGTTTGATGGTGTCTATATTACATTAGGTTGCTGTCGAAAGTTGCGACTGATTTCTGTAATCTGTTACGTTACTCCGTTTCAAAATTTAACGATACTCATATATTGAATTTTTTTAAATTATCTTAATGATAAAGTCAGTACATTTAACAATAGTCAAATCCTACAATTTCATTTGTAAATTAGAGACTACTTTGTGCTTTGAAAGGTAATATCTTATATATAATTTGAACTATTTCGTTGTTTTTAATTTTAATTGCCTGCTATTTGATTGAATACTATTCATTATACAAGATCTAATAAAGGGATTAATTAAGAAAGTACACAATACTACATAGGTTTCTTATCTAAATAATAATATATATTTTTGTTTTAAAAAAAGCTCGGTGAAAAAACACATTAATATTAAAATGTACTACATTAATAATAATATAAGAATTACTTAATTATCATAATAAATATACATACATATACGTATATATAGTTTCTGTATTTACCTACCTATTTATAAATATGAGTCCATCTATGAATATATTCACTTTTTTTATATGCCATCGAAAATTTATGGCGTTACTTGGCCATTGTCCAACAAATTTTTTTAATTTACTTGTAGCTAGAGAAATTTTGTTTTTTTTTTTTATTATTATTTTTTTTTTTTTAATAAAAGCACAAAAATTTTGTTCTTTTCTAAATTAATATGGAAATAAATTTCAAAAACCATAATTTCCTTTTTCCGAAAAATGATTTTTCAAAATATTTATTTCAAGGTTATTTTTTTTTTTTGCAATGTAAAAATAAACTAATTTGTTAACTTAATACTTTACATTTTATATAAATTTTAAAATAAATTTACTTTTAATTTATTAGATACTTAAAGAGCTAAAATTGACAAGAAAAAATTAGTTCCAGTATTTTATAAACATAAAGAAAAATGTTCATTTTATTTTTGAAAAGAAAGATTGCAGCCAGACTTCATTAACTATTATAATATATGTATTATGTTGTATTATACCCAACTAATTCAATATCACAATTACCAATTAAATATAACGGCTAGTAATTTTTTGAGGCAACTTCTAGGTTGAAATTTCGAAATTAATTAAAGGAAATTTTGTTTTACAAATATTGAAAGTATGCGGCAAGCAATAAAAATATTGAAACATTGCAGCAAAGAAATTCCTTTCCCTGGAAAAAAATTAATACAAGTAACTGAAATGTTTGTGATAATCAAAATATTTTAGAATCAGAATTAATAATTATTTGACCATCGAAATCATAATTAATTACTTAATCCTTACTTTACCTAAAATTTTTTTACTTTAATAAAGTTTTCAATTTCACTTGAAAAATAGTGATAGCATACTAAATCTTCATTATCGAAAACTTCATTAAGTATATTGATAAAACCTTAAAGCTATAACTAAAATCTTGTAGACAATTTTATATTCTTTTTATTATTGAAAAAATATAATTAATATAGACCAAGAAATTTTTCTGCATGAAATACAAAAAGAAAAAAAATATATATTATAAATTAAACTAAATACTAGTATATTCTAATAATTTAAGGTCATCGTATCCATTCTAAAAAAATTTTAATTAAATTACTTTAATTATCTATCGAATTTTCTATCTTCTTTTTTATGAAATAATATTTTTTTTTAAGATTTTGATTATTTTTTATTTTATTCTCCACTGTGATGCTACTAGATATTTTCACTCATCTAAATCACTCATTTAAATCTAAAATTATTAAATTAAAAATTTCTATATTCATAATAGCAAGTAGTGCCTTATATATTTTAATTTTTTAATGAATTAATAACCTTGGCCACATTTAAAAATTTCCAAAGAAAAAAAAAATGAAATAAAATTAAAAATTTTTGAATAGAAATGAACACAATTTTATCTACTTATTTATGTAAATAGAAAGTTCTATTGCTTAAATATATCAAACTTTTTCAGAAAGCACAAAGAAAAGCATTTTAATGTGCCAGGCTATTTTTCTTTTTCATTTGAATTCAAAAATTTTTAAATTTATTTGTTTTCTTTTTTTTCTATTTGAATAACATGAATGTATTCTTTTTAGAATTATACGTTAAACAGGTTGTTATATTCTATTGCGGATACAGTATAGTATGTATTTATAATAGTGGGCGGTTTGAAGAGAAAATTTTCAATTTTGTATGATAATAAATTAAAACACACATGTAAAATTAAAAAACTAATTAATATTCTAACAATTCTCTTTGACCCATAACATTCTTATATTATTGTATTTTTCTGTTATATTATTTACTTACTTTTATCTTACTTGTATACCATTATTTTCAAAAATAATTTTAAGATAGTGAAAGTAAAACATATAGCTATACCAAACCTAAGGAAAATTGTGGTGAATTTTTTTACTTTTGATGATTTATATTAAAAAAATTGAAGTCAACATATTCTAGTTGCCATCACTTTCATCTTGTTGTAGTTTGCACAAAGTACCAGCCATTTTTGAGGCATCGAATACACAATATTATATTAGAACATTATAGTTCCTATAACAAAGCAAAAATTAATGGAAAAATTTATAATTACAGAAATAATACTGTTGATTTTACTCGCATTTATATTAAATTTATATTTATACTTACTCTTAGAATTGAAATAGAAAAATTAAGTGCAGTCTCCATAATTCCACTAGAGTAAAAGTATAATTTTAATTTAAAAAATAAAATTAGATCTAATAAACACCTTTAGGCATTCTGTGATAATAAGGGTATTCTCATAAAATTAGCCTGAAAATTAAATTAACTTACATTCTTATAACAGAATAGCTAACAGAATTATAGCTATTAAACTAGAAATTGATCTATCTATAACTGGAAATACTTACAACTATTTAGAGAAAGAAATTGTTTATCATTTTAACTTTTCGTGACTACCAAAGTTATAATTTGCGTGCAATCCAATATTTTAGAAAATTTTTTTATAAAAAACAATGGGATTTTATGAAACTGAATTTTGTTTAAACTATTCTATTGTCGCAAGTACTATAGTTTAAACAAAATTTATGTTAAGGAACCTAAATATTTTAATACTTATCTTGCCAAACACTTATATATATATACATATATAATTATCGTCATGTATTTGTATATGAAACAGCATATACAAAAAGAAAATACATTAAAAACCTGAACCAACCTCAACAGAATATTTAAATAATTACGTTAAATTTGTTGCCAAATAGCCTATTTATATCTTTTTTCTATATATAAATTTGAGCTAAATTAAAAGGTATCAAAAATTAAATATTCGTTTTGCAATCGTTTTCTACATAAAACATTTAGACCAAAATAAAAGAAGTTTTAGTATTAAAACATAAACTCTTCAAACTAATTTCTATATTCTGATTTAATAAACCATGAGTCTTTTGTCCTAATAAAGCTCAATGCCATAAAGGGTATTGACGGCGGATTAGAATTTTATCGTTGTAAGGTAAAATGACACAAAAAAGTCATATAGAATTTAAAGTTTAGTTGGTAAATATTTATAGAATTCAGTCTTAAAGGAGGATGTTCAATTTTCCTGACAGTTTAGTCCTATAAATCTTATTTCCTATGAAATTGGCTAAATTATTTCGTGACTTCAAACTATTATTTATGATTTGACACCAACATCTTTACACTAACAGTTCAATTGAATCTAATTTTTAATTTTTTAATTTAATTATCTTTGCTTTTAAAAAGGATCTGTCTTTATGCACTTTTATCATAAACACTACGTTTCGATTCACATTTCTTTACTTTGCACCTAATATTGATTTGAAATAAAAATTAGAGATGCGTTGAGCTAGGTGTCACAACATAAATTTTGTAGATCATACAGCTTTTTTTTTAATTTTATATCATTAATTTAATCTTTTTACGACAAATAAAAAAAATATAAATAAATAAAATTTATATTTTTTTCGTAATTTATATTTTATGTTATTTTTATTCTGTATGTAAAATATATACCATCTGCACATAGAAACAAAAGTTTGCATAAATATCATATATACAAAACTATATACGTATGTACGCGGTATATGAATATTAAGTCCGTAATAAAAATTCATGTTTTTGTGGTATTCACCGGCCGCGTAGTTTTTGAAGAAAAATAGGACTAAAGTAAGAATTTTCTGAAGCGGGACAGTATTTGCACATATAACATAATTCAGTAATAACAGTTCATAAAATGTATTGAGTTGTTTGAAAAAGTTACTGTAATTTCGATGTTAATTTAAATAAAATATATGCTATTGAGCCTTCAATGAAAGTTTTTATTTTAAGTGCTTCTAAAACTTACTTTTTACACAATATTATAATTAATTATTACTAGTATATTGAGAACACTATATTATTTTTACAAACTTCTTCTAATTTGAATAAAATATATACAATTTTAATAAATTGAAAGAATGAGATATTTTAAAAATAGAATATTACGTAGAAAAGTTTTGTAAATAATTACATTAAAATTATAAATATAAAAATAAAATTGAATAAAAAATTTTTCAATTATAAAATTGCATTCACTTTTATTTTTAGGAATTAATCCATCATTCATTGAAGATGAAGAAGAAAGAGTAGGGTAAGTTAAAGAAAATAAAACAAATTTTTCTTTTACTTTCGTTCTCTGTTAATATTTATTTAAAAAAAACTTAAATTACTAATTATATAGCTTTAATTGTTCGATTACATCGCAACCTCTCGAATTTTAATATACATAATATACATTATTACAATATATTGCAATATAACATCATTTTAAGTTTAATAAAAATGTTAATGCCAATCTTTTACTGAATTGTAATTAAAATTATTTCATAATTAAAGTACGCTTATTAAAGGACCATCTTAATTTTAAACAAAATGATCTATTAATCTAATTTAAAATATTTTAATTTGATTTATCAATTAGAGTTGGCAAAAAAAATTACACATTTATTAACAATATTCGTAACCATAATTACTGATTTATAACAAAACTTAATCGCAAAGAAATTTTTTCTATTAAAGAGCTTTGTATTGACATTAAATTCAATATTAATTTTAATTTTATTGCTTTTCTTTTTTTTAGTTCAGTATTTCGAATGAGAATAAATGGAGTAAGTAGAGATGAAGCTAACACCTGAAAAGTGAAAAAAAATTTAAAAGCTATTATTTAATATTTATTTGTTTAACCTATTTACAATAAAATAATAAAATCAATTTTTTATCTTATGATTTAATAAGTACGGCGTTTTCCTTAAACTATCACCCCAATAAAGCATAATTAAATACTGATTGAATTAAATTGCAAAATTTTTCTTCTTTAGCCTGAAGGATATTTTTATTTTAAATAAAAATTTTCAAAACATTTTCAAATTGTCTTATAAAAAACATAATTATTAAAATTATCGTAACATTTTCTGAAAATTTGAGTGAATTTTCTTTAATTTGAACAGGAACTTGAATAGTGCATTATAACTTGTAAGCATCTGTTCAATTGCATCAAAAATTGATACCAATTCTAAACGATTTCAGAAATATTGCCATCTTCTAATATTGTTTAATTAAAAACTATCATAGAGATTTGAAAAATTTTGAAAACAACATTTCAAAACATCAAGTATAAACACTGTACTCATTTGGTAAACTGTTGTTGTTTTTTTAATTCAAACACATAAAACCTATATAATTATAACATATAAGTACTTATTGTAACCTATAAAAGTATATACAATACTTTTATTCAATTGAACTTAATTGTATAATAATAAAACTTAAACACAAAATTTTAAATATGAACTTCAATAATAAATTGTAATAGTACATACTTAAATATTAAATAATATAAGTAATTAGTAGTATCAAGTCATTTGCTAGTTAATTTTAAAATTGAACAGTAAATTCGAGAAAGTTAAAAATATGTAGGTAGATTTTTATAAATCTGCAATATCTTTTTAATTAATTCTTAATACGTTTACAAATACTTATTTACTTTAAAGATTAGAAATTTTCGGAAGGATGCCGGACAAAATAATAGTTTTCAAAAGGTAAATACTTTATAGATCTTTACTTTGTATAGCGAAATGCATACAAATTTAAAGTGTGTTATTTTTTATCAAATAAGAATAAATTTTTAATAGTTGCGATTTTTCCATAAAAAGCACCATCATTAAAAATTTGAGTTTTAACATTCAAACAATATTTTTTTATATTTGTTACTTTTTTGATTTTAGGCAAATATAAAATATATAAGAAAATGGACTCACAATTATTTAACTAATGCCGAATATGTCGATAACGATATTTTAAATTAAATATGCTGGTACCTACATAATATCATTTACATAAATTTCAAAAATTTCAAAGGTTTTTCAAGATATTAGCAAAAAATCCGTATAAAATTAAAAATTTCCAAAGTCTAAAAATAAAATTTCGTAAAGAAAATAATTTTTTTAGCATTTATTTAATATCAAAAGCTAAAGTCTAATAGCAGTTTGCCATACGTTTCAAAGTTTAAATTTTGTTTTTAACTTATAACAAGCTTTTTTAAACTTTTCGTTTTTAAGAAATGTATTACTAATTCTGTATAAAAATAAGTAATCATCCATTTATTATGAATTATTAAACGTACGTGAACACCTACGACAGCATAATTATTTTTGGATATAATGTTAAAAGAAAAGTATCTCTGCAAATAAAATTTCATTTTAATCTCCTTTAGAAAATTTTAAAACTTAAATAAAATTTTTTTAATGAATTGAATTTTTATTTGGTTTTTAGCATTCGATATATTTTATTTTTAGAATTTACATAAAACAAATTAGATAGATACTAGTACGTAAGTGAAATAGCTTTGTATTTTTGTAAAAAGTGTCCTACTTAAATTAATATTAAAACTAATTACTAAGAAATTGAAAAAATGTTTAATTAAACATTAAGAAAACATAGGCAAAATTAAAGTCAAGAAACTTACCTATAAATATATATATTTTAAATTTCAAGTTATTCTTCATCTTTAGGCTCATATTTTGGTCTACAAGCATTAGGATCAATTAAAACTTTTATTAAACATTCAACAGTTGGTTTTTCAGCTACTTTATATACATCTAAACCTTTATTTTGAATTGCCCGTCTTGTGCTAGGCCCGATTGCAACTAATTTTTTCTTTTCCATGCTTAAATTATTTTTTGTAAACCATTCGTAAGTACAATCGACACCTGAAGGACTGAAAAATGCAAGATATTCCACATTTTCGGTATTCATAGCATTTTTTAAGTTTTCATCTAAATCAGGATGACACACTGTTTCATACACTGTTAATGGTTCAAAAGTAAATCCTACAGCAAGTAATTTAGCCAACAGTGTATCCGTCCTCATATTTCCACAAGGATATAGAAAAGGTTTCTTTTTATCACCCTCAAAATTTTCTAATATATAATCTGCTAAAGTACCACTGGTACCAGTTTCTTTTCCCTTTGTGTACAATTGATTTAAATTCATCATTGCTAAATGATGTGTGGCTTCGCCAACCGAATAATTATGTAATTTTTTCCAACCTTCTGGGATAGGAGCGTTTCCTAAAGCTTCTCGAATTGCATCCACAGAGCGAGGTGATGTTAAAATTAATCCTGAATATTTTTCGGAATCATTTAATCTTTCTTTAAGTACATCTAATTGCCGAAATGCAAATCCCAATGTAGGCACGAAAACTGGATTTAATTTATGCTTTTTTAATTGTTCAACATATTCTTCAGTTGATTCAGATTCAGACTTAAGTATAATTACTGATTTCATTTTTTATAACTTTCGTTAAAATTTTTGTACGACAATAATTGAGATATAAAATTTTTGGTTAAATTCTGCTCAAAATAAGTATATTCCAATAATATTATATTTTATTCCGCAAAAAATACGTTATTATTAACCGAATAGAAAACACCTGCCGATTTTAAATATATGACTGAAAGAATAATTTTCACTTTATTTACATTTACATTTAGAAAATAATTTAAACCAAATCAAAATTCTAATTTTAAACAGTAAACAGAAATGTGAAAAAAAAAAGTTGCACAAAATTTCATTGACATTTAAAATGTCAAAATCGGGGATAGCTATACCCACAATAAATGTCATTTTTTGATTACTTTACAGAATCTTATGTGAGTAATAAATAAAGAGTAATGTTTAACGATGTAATTTGCCACGTATAAAAAATGTTCAGCAGAGGTTTGAAAAGAGATTAAATTTGAAATTGAAAACAGTAAGAAAAGAACCAATAATAATTTTCATTAAAATTTGAATCTTTATATATTTATTTGTTAAGTTGCTAATTTATTTGTTTAATAGTTGGGTTTGTTAACCCACAGTTGAGGCAAAGTTGTTTCGCACTTGATGGATTTCGCAGTCAAAATTGCAACTCAACTATGACCTATGATTAGAGAATAAATGCCCTTTCGAGCAGTCGGTTATAACAAATCTGTCAAATTACAATAACAAAAAAGAACTTTTATTTTGGACTAATTTTCTATTTTCATATCTTATGTATTTTTATGATAAAAGTGAGCACTTTCTTAGCTAGTTAATGAGGTTAGTACAATCGTTCGTTCGTTCGAATTTTTACACAATTGGCTGTCGCGAAAAATAAGTCGTATCAATTTCCTTTTCACTAATTCCGAAGAACTGACTATGTAATTTATTTAAAAAAAAATGTTGAAAAGAATGAACCAATTACACAAACTTCCTTTAATTATCTGACAGAGCTCTGACTTTACGTCAAAATTTCATAATCTTATTACGAAAATTGTGTATAGCCGAAAAAAATTAGCTTATTGCTATCAGGAGTTCTCACAAAAAATTAATTTTCGGCTTTGCATTTAAAAAATCTGTCAGTAAATCCGACAGGGAACAAAATAACTTTAAGAGCCTGATCGTGTACCTCGATATTTTACTCGCGATGTGAAAAGAAAGTGAGTAGCTATAATATATTTGAAAAATGTAATTTTCGAGTGAGAAGAATTATTTTGTATTGCGTATCTCGTAACAGAAGTAGATGTTTTTGTAAATTTATTCGCCTTGTTTTTAGAAGTGAATTGTATAGTCGGTAATTTGACAAAAAATGCAAAAATTTAATTGAAAAAATGAGTAATTTTATTGGAAAAATGAAATATTCGTTACAAAAACGGAGAGTTCTGATTTGAAAGTGAATGAAAATCAAGATTGGGCTGAAACTTTTTTGTCGTATATAAAAAAGTACTTTAGTGAAATTGAAATTTTTAGTTGAAATTTATTTCGGGTGTCACTGAGTAAAAATCTATCTTTATAGTAAAAATTGCTGTTATATAAAATAAGATTGGCGTAAGATTGGTAAAGTATTTAATGAATGCAAAAGATCTTTTTTATTTTTAAAACACTAACAATGTTCGAAAAAAAGGAAGTCTTGCGTCACTTTTATTATGCTAATGGAGATGAATGGTAATATAATAATAGTATGCATAAATTTCCTAGAATTAGAGTATTGTACAGTTCAAAATAAAATCTTTGAATGTCTCGTTTAAACTTTTGACGATTTTGCCATTCACGCTAGAAAAAATCTTAAGCCTTTTGCGAAATGGATTTTCATAAAAATTTTAATTTGTAATTGGTTAAGATAACACACAAGTTTACATATTTGTCGTATTTTTTTTTAATTTGGAACCACACTCTACCCAGAACAGCAATCATTCTCTTCCGATCCGAAATATTATGCAATCCGAAATATTGTGTGTGGCACCGATTTTTAATGATATTATTAATTTTTATTAGTTGCTACTGTTACACATAAGTAATCATTTCTGATAGTAATCGGTTCGTGCCGCCATTGAAATATGCTATGACAAATGTCAAGTATATAGATTAATAAAAAAATTTTGTAAAGCATGCAAACAAAGCAAAGTATATTCCCGGGTTACATTTTGAAATAGAATATTAAGAACATTTTCAGTATTTTTAAATACTGGATAGAAAAATTGTTGAAAGAATCGAATTAATAGTGTTTTGAAAAAAATAATTTTACGACCGCCGACTTGTTTCTTAAAGAAAACTCAAAATGAGTTCAGGGCAAAAATTTGGTCGAGGAGATTATAGGAGTGGTAATGATATGCAGGCAAACTACGGAAACAATTCTGGTTTTCGTAAGGGACCTAATCAAAGTTATGATGGACAAAATCCTGGTGATTCAAGAAACTTTAACAAAGGTTTTGGTTCAGGTGGCTATGGTAATTCTGGTGGACAAAAAGGGAACTTTTATAATAAAGGTGGAAGAGGTGGTGGTGGAGGACATGGAGGTGGTGGTGGAGGCGGCGGTGGCGGTGGTGGTAATGATATGATAATTCAAGATGATACAATTTTTGTTTCTGGAATGGATTCGGCGATAACAGAATCTGATATACATAACCATTTTGGATCGATTGGCATCATAAAAAAAGACAAGAAAACACTAAAACCGAAGATTTGGTTGTATAAGGATAAAGAAACCGGTGTTTCTAAAGGTGAAGCGACCGTTACATACGATGATGTAAATGCTGCGCAATCTGCTATTCAGTGGTTTGACGGTAAGAATTTTAGGGGTTCAACCATAAATGTATCACTGGCACAACGTCAAAATAAATGGAATCGTGGCGGCGGAAATAGTCGTAAAGGAGGAGGCAATTTTGGTAATCGAGGAAATAGTAGTGGTGGAGGTGGCGGTGGTGGTGTTGGAGGAATGGGTGGAATGGGCAGTATGGGCAGTGGAGGTGGTGGTGGTCTTGGTGGTAGTATGGGTGGTGGTGGCGCTGGTATGGGTGGTGGGGGCGATGATTATCCACCGAGAAACAATGATTATCGGTCATATGATCGCGGTCATGAAGATTCTTATAGAGATGAACGACCACCTTATAAAGACGCTAACCAAGGAAATCAAAGCGGTAAAAGCTCATTACCACAAAGAGAAGGGGATTGGAAGTGTAACGATTGTAAAAATACAAATTTTGCTTGGAGAAATGAATGTAATAGATGCAAAAATCCAAAACCAGAAGGGGCTCACAATAGCTCAAATGATCAATCATCAAATTACTCAAATAACTTCCGTGGTAATGGTGGTAGCGGTGGAGGTGGTGGCAATAGTGGAGGAAGTGGAGGAGGTGGTGGAGGTGGTGGCGGCGGTGGAGGTGGAAGAGGAGGCGGAAGTAACTACAGCAAAAATAGCGGCAGCTTTAATAAAGGGAGAAATTATGGCCCAGATAAACAGAAAGGTTTTGGAAATTTCCGTTCAAAACCTTATTAAAAATGAAAGAAAAACTTAATTATATTACTTTTTTTAAATATTAATTTTATATTGATTAATAATCATTAATAAAATATTAAGAATTGTGTCCCAAATTGACATTCTGAACCATAAGAAAAATTAATATAAAATAAAGCCAAGTAAAAACAATAAAGTTTATCGTTTAACGTAATTAGGTAAAAGAACTAGTTGATTTCACACACGTTTTAAAGAAATAAAAATTTTCATTCATTATTGTTTTATAAATGCTTGAATTTCACGAAAAATTTTAATTTTTTTAACTTTCAAATGTTGCTCACAATATGCCGATAAATTATAAAAAGATATGTGTAAGCAAATTAAATACATATGAAATTCTAAAATTTTAAAATCTTGATACATTTCCATAAATTTATTTTATTTGCATATTGGTAGCTTCGTTTTTTTATCTTTAATAGAAAAAGTTAGCTTAAAGCTCAAATATTTTATTTAAGACTGAAGCTATTTTAAACTAAATTATATTATTTTACATCATTTTTAAACTTGGCTTGTTTAAAGAAGGAACAATAATGTTTAAAATTAAAAATTATAAAAAATTGTTCTGTAGGAATAAATTACCACAAAAATTTCACATGTTTATTTGGCTTTCGAGATTCTACAATAAATTTTTGAATAGATTGAAGTTTCATTTGAATAATTATTTGAAATTCATTTGAGGTGTTAAAAATTTAAACTAATTTACAAATATGCAGAATTATTCTGTGTTCATTTTATATTTTTACATAATTATTGCAATATTCAGATTTATTAATTTTAAAATAAAAATGAGCATTGTTTAGAATAATTGGCGCTACTTCCATTTTGTAAATTATGTATTACATAAAATAATTTTAATAGCTCAAATGTAATCTTACTTTAAATATTTAAATTTAATTTGTAGGCATTGGATACATAAACCTAGAAAGAAATCCAACAAATTCATAATTATACAGTAGAAAACATTTGATAGAAGTAAGTAAAGTAACGTAAGTAAGATTTCGTAGTAAAACTAAGATTATTTTAAATTTAAATGAAAGATTACTAAAATTATTTATATTTAATTAATATAAGAAAATAGCATAAACTTATAAATATATGTATTTATTGATAATATGTACATTTGCATATAAATATGTGTATGTATGTATGTATACGAAATGTAGTTTGCTCAAGTAGAAAGTTAGACCAAATGACCAATATGTTATACATATGTATATGTAAATGGAAGGGTTGATTAAATATAAATCGATATAAAAATCGATTATTGAAGATAAATGAGCCTGGATTCAAAATTTATTAAAAGGAAGGAATATCAAATACAGGCAAAGAGAATTTTAGATTACAGTACATGTACATAATGTGTACATATCTTGGAATGGCTTCAAAAACTTTAAAATTTTCCAAAGCTAATTTTCCAAAACTTTTTTACAAAGAGAAAATCGGTTTTATAATGTAACTTAATTTATATTTCTGTCTGAAAATTGAGTTATTTTAAATTTATGCAATTATTTTTCAGTCAAAATTTGTCTTATTAATTAATATTATTATATCTTCTCAAAATTTGCAAAAATTTGCGCATGACCATGACATTTGTAATACACTTCCTTACATTAAATGATTAGGACATAAAAAAGTATGAAATCTAATTCCGATAGACCGAATAAGCACTTACTTATATTGATAAGGATATTCTTAAGTTTACTCTGACACAATTGAAACAATTATACCTTAAAAATTGTTATTAAAACCCTTAACAATTTGAAAATTTTTTTTTAAAACACGAATTTAAAATTTGCACGTACAAACTTATGTTTATACATGTGTATATGTATGTAAGAATATTTTGCTTTATTTAAATTTGTGATTTTAATATAATATGTGTTACGTTTAACATGTAACATTTTAAATGTTTTGAACACTGTGAATCAAAAAGACTTGGCTGGGCTTCCCGAAACCAATGTTTAGTAATTTAATTTGTTCAAAGTTAAATCAAACACAAGAGGGCCAACATAAACAGTTTCACATTATTTAAATTTTTGCGTGTAACCTGTGTGATATAATCGTGCTTTAGAGACTAGTTTGTTTAGAAATTTCGAATCAGTTACACACATAAAATGTTACATATTCTTACAATATAGTTTAAGTTTTGTAAGAGTCTAGTTTTGTCCCATTTACAATTTGTGTTAATTTATTTTATTTATTTATTTATTTATATGTTATTTATTAAAAAAGAATAACTGACGATTTTAAAAATTTTATTAAATTCATTTTTTTGAGCTATTGAGTTACTAAATTATGTTAGAATCAAATTGAAATTTGTTCAATAACTTAATCCATGCTGAAGATTTAAAATTAAATCGAAACGTTGGTGAAAAGTTAAAGAACATTGCTTTATTTGTCCTACACCAGACTACACAAAAAATTTTAAATATTAAGAAAAATGCCGCGAAAATGTAAAGATGAAAGATGTATCTCAGGTATGAAAAAATAAAACATGTAAGCGTACATATAGGAAAATAATATCATATTTTTACTTTTAGGGAATAAATTAACAGTTCATTTTCTAAGAAATGTAATTGCAGCAAGAGGAGTGCTTCCAACACTACTAACACGAATCTTAAGTCTTGGGCGATATTGGTTTTATACTACCGGATCTGGTTGATCGCAGTTAGATGGTTATTTTTGTCGTTATACAATTTAGGCACTTACAAAGTGTAAAATAAAATACGAGTATGTATGTTGATGAGTACAAAATATAAGTGTAGTTTATATTTTGAATGTATGCACGTGTGTGTGTTTGTTTAGTTACATTTGTAAAAGTAATGTGTATTCAGATCTGAAATCCAGGAGGTGACACCCATTTTAATAAGTATGAGGCTAATTATTACATCTGTGCTTTTAATTGAATTAGCAATTGAAAAACTTCCTTTTCACATCAAATATGAGTAAAATACTAAAACTTAATTGTTTCTAAGCTTGTAAAAAATTAAACTAAATTATTTATTAATTTTAGGAATATTTTTTACTTAAAAATTGAAATGTAATGCATCAGACAAATCGAAAATTATATTAATAACAAGATTTAAGAATTTAAAAAAAATGGAAAAAAATGGTTCTATATTTTTAACGTATGTATGTATATATGTACTTATGTATGAATGTGCATATAAAATTTTGATTGATATTTATTATATAAGGTTTTATTTTTTTTTAAGACTGGGTATTTGTCTTAAATTTGTGTAGTGCCTGTAAAAGGATTCTGTATAAATAGAATTTTCAAAATGGTATATAGAAAAATTTCATATGAAAAAACCCTAATATCTATTTTTTTTTTGTCGGGAAAATGGCTCATTTTTTTCATGATAATATAAATTTGATTTTTTATGATATTATAAAATGTCAGACAATGAAAAATGAAAAGAATTTCTAAAAATTATAGAGGAGCAGTTTTGAAAATGAACACCTGACAAAATACATTACATTAAACATATTTCATTTTAATGATATTATGTTGAGATCCTATGTTAATGGTAAATATTTTGTACATATTATAAAAGCAAAAGAAATAGAAATAAAAAAAGGAACATAAAATAATGTATTTCTATTTTTTAGTTTACAAAGAACATGTTTTTTGCATTCATTTTTATTTCAAGCTTTCGTAGACTTTATATTTTGAGTTTTATAATAAAGCTTGTTTTTTACTCCACTTCCTTATGAGGAAGACTAGAGTAAAGAACATTAGAGAAAAATTCAAAAATTTTTATTGCAATTAATAGCAGAAACCTACCAAATTTAAATTACTATTAATTTTTTATTTATTTTATAATCTACATACTTGTAAGTGATAGTATTTCTAAATTTTTTCCAAATTATATATTTCAAAATTTTTTGAAATGTGGGAATGTGAGTATTTCCTGTAAGCCTTCGATATTGAAATAATGTTTAAAATCAAATCTTATAAATCGATTAATTTAAACTTCTAATCCTTTTATGTTCTACCGTTCTTAGAGTGAAATATGTCATGTAATAATTTTTAGGAAGTGTCAAAAAATAAAATTATTTTTAATTTTTGATTTTATTAAAATAATTTGTTTTTAGACTAGAACCAGTGGTCGAAGTGGGATACTCAAAGTGGTGGGATGGTAAAAAAAAAATTAAACAAAAAAAAAAAAGTATTATTTTAGTTATTTTTTAAAAAAATAACTAAACAAAATTTACCAAAATTTGGAAGTAAACTAACGAGAATATTAACATATATTCAAATTTAAATCAACTAAAAATTGAATCAAAAACTGTGCAAATTGTTACCAAAGAAATGCATAGACTATACTATGTAGTAACGAAAATTTCATTAATAGAAAAAAATTATACGCTACTATTTGAAATTGGTCTCATTTAAAATTACATATATTTAATTTTTTGTTAAAAAAATTTCTAAGATTCATTAGAAAATTTTCTTAAATATTAAAAAACATGTTCCGGAACGCATTTCTCTCCTATTAAGTAGTGGGATGGATTTCCAATTATTTAAAAGTACTGGGATGGCATCCCACTCCATCCCGCCTCACTTCGAGCACTGACTAGAACATAAACGCGTTATTTCAATTTTTTATATTTTTTATCTAAGAGTTCACATCTGGTTGGTTCATGTGATCATTGCTCGTAATGTTACTATTTCTATTACCGTAACTTTGTTGCATTTATTCTATAAAATAATTGCAATGCCAAAATTAAACGTTCGAAGATTTGAAATTGAATCTGGATATTAATTGAAATATATTGAAATATTTGAAATACATTACAAGAATAAATATTGAAATAAAAAAAATATTCATATTTTTTTATTGTTTTTTTTTTTAAAGAAGTCCTCTTACAACACAAAGAAATCTAGATCATCAGCTCATATATACAAAGCTTTATTTCGCTCTTACATGCTCTTACAACAAATTAAAAAACAAAATTTTTTTTTGAAAAAATATACTCAACAAAACTAACTTTACGCTTCCTTTTGCATTAAACTTTTCCGACATTTCTAAATAATAATAAAAATCAGTTGTCTTCTGTTCAATATCTTTGAATTAGAATTTATTTTCTGTAATTCTACTTCGAATTTGAAAATTAATGAATTTCAAAGCACAGTCTTTCAATTATAAAACTATACGTATCGTGATTTACTTTTGCTTCACTAGATTATAGAAATATATATGTAGTTGTAAAGCATTCATTGTAGTGGAACTTGTTACTTTATCCTAGATTCTAGATACATTGCTGTTTATAGATAGTAGAGCTAATAGAAAAATTTTAATTTTCAAAACTCTTATTTTGAAAAAAATTATTAAAAGTTTTTTGTGCAAAAATCTTACAAAAAGAATAACTTAATTTTTATTGAATAATGTGAATTATATTTTTTTTGCCATGAGGCACTAAATATGCATACTCGTAAGTTTGTAGATAAAAAACAAATCTCCAAACAACATCTCGTTTACTGTGTATGATCGACTAATGACTTGTACAACTAGATATATTACATTATGTAAATCATATGGAAAATACAAAATTAGTTATGTGAAAAATTCTAACTAACATCCTTCCTAGTTTTTAATTATGTAAGTATGTGTGTATGCATATGTGGGTTTGAAAGTATTTATAAAATAAAGTCTAAGCTAATTTATAAGAACAAGACAGTGTTAGATTATATGATAAGACAAACGAAAATTCACAAGAGAATTTTTCATTTTGTTCCTGAAGCTCTTAAAGGTTTAACGCCAATAAATATGCATTTTTATTGAAAATTTGGAAAATTTTTTAAGGGTTTTCAAATTCTAGAAATATTGACACTTAAAAGTGTTAACAAAATATGTTTTTAAGCCGATTTTAAATTTATTTAAACCAAATTTAAACTTATAAGTTTGATTAAAAATAAATTATAAGAAAGATTGGGATTATAAATTTTATTATACAAGCTGAAAATAAAAAAAATAATATTATAAAATGATTTTGAAAAACAGGTACTTTTACTTTAAGCATTTTCAATTTAATTTTCAAATTTCGACCAACATAGTCATTTTTGCTAGTTTTATATTATGCAGAATATAAAACTTATATGCATATACATTTATTATATTACAATTTCATAAATTACATTTTACATTTCTATTTAAAGGCGAAATAAAAATTAATCAGGTGCCTGATTCCTGTGTATGTAATATTCTAAAAGTGATTTTTAATCATCCGTACATGTTTTATGAAAACTTTTCCATTATTTTAACATTATTGTCTTCATGTTGTAAGCATTTCTATGAAACCATGCAATTTAGAAAGTTTTGTGGTAATACCTACATCTACATATGATATGGTAAAAAAATTAATACCTTGCATGAGGGCCTTTAATAAAAGATTCCATAGTAAGGAAATGCATAATAGATGTATTGTACGAGTATTAAGTGAAAAGTGTTCAACTAGAAAACAATATAATTTTTAAAAATTTTAAAATTACATAAATATTTTTTATAGCATTCTTTTGAATTTTTTAATTGGTTAAAAATTTTCATTTCAGACTTTCTTCCTAAAAAAATATTTTACTTTGCAGTGAAAAGTTTTTTGGTTTATATGAGCAACAAATTCAACAAGCTGATCAATATCATTTTCACCAAAATCTTATATACAGTGAATATCAGTTAGAAATCAGGAAAAAACAGTGTAGGTACTTACAAAATAAATAAAAATATTTTAGTCTTCAGTAATTTACCAATCAATTTGAAATATAGAAAGCTTTGATTTTTTTTCACTTTAAGTTTTCATTTTTAAAAGTTGTTAATCAATACATAGTGGTTGATACACACGATTCAACTTCGTATTTTTATTATGGCATATTTGCTATTTAAACACTCTCGCATTTATTTTTTGATTGCAATCGCAACGAATCTTTGTCACTAAATCTGTTTAACATTTTAATTAACATGTATAAACTTATCCGTCTTGATTTGTTTAAGATATTTTGCAACAGTTAAACATAAATGGAGAAGCAACTGTAATGAAAATTCAAGTTCCTTATTCTATGATAATAGCTATGGGTACATTATTATAATTTATTTAAAGGAATTGAAATTTTAGCTAGAAGTAAAAATGTTCGGTTTATAAAATAATGTATATCTTCTCTATTCTTTATCATTATCATTTAATTCCTTACTTATAACTTAAGACTAATAATCCTTATAGTTTATAATTTAAAAATTATTTACATAAATATGCCATAATAGTTCTTATTTCAAGGGTAACTTATTTCTATAAAGTTCATTATTCTAAGAAAAATTGAAATGACAACATTGTTGAACTAACGAAAAATAATGTAAAATAGAATTCGCAAAAAAAAAGGAAAAAATAAAAAACAAAACCTAATACTAAGGGCTAAATAAGAAACGGCGATTTTCTTTTTTCCTTTCTTTTATATTTTGTTTAATCAATGTTTATCCTTTTGGCAATGTCCTTGTTCCATTTATAGTACCTATATAATAAGAATGATAATAATTATTATCATTATCATGAAAATCATTATAGTCTCTTCATTTTTTTGCCGCTATATGAAGTTGTTTTTTTAAAACTGTTACTCTATTATCGGTGTATGTATATATATAGGTGCTTCCATATACATATGCCTTGCGTATATAAAATTTTCTGTTTTACCTTTATTCTAAAAGTATTTAATAAAATAATTTTAAATATATTTTGAATACCCTCCCTATTTAAATAAATTTTAGTACGTATTTTGAGAAAATTAATCAAAAATAAAATAAAATAAATTATATAACATAAATAACCTTTGTCCTAGAGAGTCAAATCGTAACTGCTATGAACACATGATTTTTAGTGTTCTTTACTCTTATCTTTAATATTAATATTTGCTTACCATACTTATAGTATAAATATAGGGGAAAACTTACTTTGCGATTATACAATAATTTTATCAATATAACAGTTTAAAATTCAATGTGTAATATAAACGAAATTTAACGAAGTGAAATTCTTGTTATATGACGGTGTTTGTATACCGTTTTAACAAAAAAACAGATGAGATGAATGAAAAATTGTAAAGGAGAGAAAATATGAAAAAAGAAAAACTGTTATATTACGGTAGTACTTAGACAGTTTCATGTGTTAAAAGAATGTAGTCATTTATTTAGCATAAGGTAAAATATTTAAAAAAAAAAAATAAATTAAAATATTTTTAAGTGTATTTTTTAGCTCGTATTTAACCATAAACGTCGCAACGGGGGACAGTTATTTTCAATAATTTAATTGAACGAAAATCAAAAGCCAAATGGGTATGGAATTGGTAACTTTTAAGGTAACAATAGAAAATTTAATAACGCGAACCTACGTGAAATAAAATTTTTACTTTCTTAGTGAAATATTTTGTAGATGTTAATAAAAATATTAAATAAAATATTAAATATCCTATGTATGCTTAAAGAAATATTTGATATTACCAACGTACCGTTTGCTAAAATAGAAGATTGAATTATAATGGTTTGATATTTTGTACGACATTTTTAAATGAGCTACTGAGAAAAAGCTAAAAATCTAATTGAAAAAATGTAAAAATTAGAAAAATTCTAATCAAAAATGAGAATTCTAATTTGATAGTGACAAATAAAGATGTTTGGCAATTTTTAAAATGAGCAAATATTAAAAAAAACTTTATCTTCCAATTCTTAAATCTATAAAAATGACTATTTTAAAATTAGCAAATTAAATTTTATAACAAACATAAAAGTTTCACAAAATTTCTTACAAAAATATTCGAAAACAGCTTATTGTCCAAGTGAAACTAAAAATGATTGTTGCTTCGCATTTGATAAATAGAATTGAAATTTTCTTTTTTTTTTGTTTTTTTTTGAAAATATCCTTAAAAAAAATTACTTACAAAAATTTCTGTTAACTATTCAGTTGTTTTATATCCTTTGAATTGAATAGTTTTTTCATATCTAATCCGGTAATCGGGAAAAAGAAATAAATTCTTTGGAGAAAAAAAAAATTTCAAAGATATAGAAAAGCCGCTATTAGTAAAAATTTCATTATTTCGTGATAAAATATTTCGCGTATTTGGAAGTGAAAATATTTCCTTTTCGATTTGAATTGTGTGAAATTTTTTTATTTTATCATAAATAAAAATAAATATATTTTCGCATATAAGTACGTATATATGTAAGAAGTAGTAAATGAAACAAAAGAACGAAAATAATAATAGAAACGTTTTGATAAAAAAAAAATTGTTATCAATTTATTAAATATTTTAATTTCGGAGAATTTATAAGAAAAAATTTTGATTGATATTTTGATAAGAAATCTTTTTTATTTTAATTTATTCGAAATTCAACATCAGCGAAAACATTTATTTAAAAAATAAGGAAAACAAAAAATAAAAATTTTTTAATATGATTGATTGTTGAATTTTAATAATTTTTATTTTTTGAATTCTTAATGTTAGCAGTTGTTGGGAGTTTAAGCAGTTTTTGTTTTATGATTAAATTTTTTTTTTTGTTTTTAAAGTTATAAGAAGATGAAATCCTACTTGTTCTGTAAGCATCATGCGGGAAATTTATTGCTTAAAATTAAAATTTTGATTAAAAAATTTAATGAGTTTAAATTTGAAAATTGAAATTTGGGAAATTAAAAGGTTTTAATTATTAAAGTTTTTAAGTTACTTTTGAATATTGTGTTCAAAAGAAAGTACGTATATATATAGATTAATTAATGTACCAATTGTTAAAATTAAAATTTTAATTATGAGGCGGACTACATATAAAGTTTTGAATTTTAAATTTTCTTGTATGAACAGTCAAAGCACTTTAATAAAATTACAATTTTTTTTTTAAACATGAGTTCCTTCTTTCTTTTTAATATTTTTAAGGTTTACTAAAGGTATATCAGTTTAGGTGTATTATATGAATTTTCAAATATAAAATAAAAAAATTTTGTGTTTTATAAACTTTGATTTTCCTACGAAATATTATTCTCAAACAAAAATTCTATGCCAGACAAGTATAATTACTGCGTAACGTATAATATGGAATTTGTTATGAAAATTTAGGAAACTTTAACATTAAACATTTAAATATTTGAAAATGTATATAAATTGTCTAAAAAATTTCTATAGGACGTTATTAATAAACAATGAGGATCATAAATAAACTAAGTAACCTTAAAAGAATTTTAATTGCCAGTGTGTATTAGCGTTTGATTTAAAATCATTTAATATAAGGATGCAGCTTTAGTGAGTTTTAAAGAATTTAAAATTTCCGAAAATTAAAATATTAAAATTATGATTGTATGAAGTTGGTAATAACATCAAGACAAGACAAGGTGTTATTAAAATTCTAGTTTAAAGTAGTTTCTTTTCTTAACAATTATATTTATATTGCATTTGAAGACTATATTTGAAAATTAAATATTTAGACGCGTATAATCATGACTCAATTTATAATGATATTCAAAATTTTCAATATATATATTTTACCTTTCGAATAAAAAGAAAGTAAGGAAGAATAAATAAACCATTTTTAGTGAAATTACGGTCTGTCAGTCTATGTCCGTACGTCAGTATCCCTACTTAAGTTGAACCGATTTTGGTTAAAATTTCTTAAAGAAGATTTTCATAATCTTGTGTGACATTTTCGCTTCACTAGACAATATTCACCTATGTAGTCGGTTATGTAGTTGATTATGAGGTCGATTATACAGATATTTGCTAATACCAGCATTGGCTTTTAATATAATGAAGATTTACCTTAAAGTTATAAAAAATGTTTTAAATTGTTTTTTTTTGCCTTGAAAAAATTAAAGAGTTTACAAATGAAAGTTATTTTATAAGATGAAAGGTTGATTTAATTCAAATTTTTCTTCAAATTTCAAATTTTTTATTTAAATTTATTTTAATAAATTTAATATCAAATATAACGCCAAAATATATTACTAACAAATTTTTTATCAAAAAAAACAAGAGACTACCTTGTAAAAAGTTTTTCTCTTGTTTTCATATTTAGTTTCTTGTTTCGTTAGTTTTAAGCAAGTCTTCTTAATTTTAAATTTGTTCGAATATTATAACAGAAAAAAAAATAATAAAATGCGTGAGAGAGGCGTGAGAGCTTGTAGGAGTTTTTGTTTCGTAAATTATATTAAAGAAAAATTTAATAATTTCAAAAAAAGAAAAACTTCTAAGTGAAAAGTTGTCTAAAAGTTTTTAAAAATTTTTGTGCCGTACACCAGTGGTCTTCAATTTTTCAAGTTTTTTGTTATTTTTCAAAATATGGTCTATTATATATGTATATGATAATGATTTATTAATTTTCAAGAGAAAAGATAAATTTAGTTTTTTGTTAAAAAAGTTTGACAATATCAAAATAAACTTGTTATAGACAAGGGTTAACAGCAGTACCTAAACCAAAAATTGTCTGACAATAAAAGTAAAAACGAAACAAAAATGAAAGTTTAGAAAATTAATTTTGACATTTTTAACATTATTTTATCTTTTATTATGTGAATATGTGTGAATATGGTATACTAGGCAATCTTCAAATTCGAAATAAAATTTTTACAATTTTTTTCTTTTGAATAATTTAAGTATATGTAGAACTCTAAAGAGCTATATATATAAAGAGAAGAGTAGAATAGAGAGCATAAAATTCCTAAAGAATTTGCAAAAAAAAAAATATTTTTGTTGTCGTTTTCAATAATTTTCCTAAATATATTTTGATGACATTGGTATTATTGTTATTATTATAAATGTTAAGGAATTCACATTTTTATCCTCTTAAACAAAAATAAATTTGTATATGTGTGTATATGTATATGTATGTAATTCATGTCAATTTTTATATTAGTTTGTTTTTGTTATCTCGTGAAAAATCATAACGATTGTCTTAAATTCAACAAAAAATATATTTAAGTAATATACATATGAAGTTATGTGATTTTCGGCATGCTACTATTATAAATTAGAAAAATATTTAGCTAATAAGAGTCAAGTAAAAGCAACAAGTTTCTTTTTAACAAATTCCAACCCAATTCTTTAAACATTTTTTCGGGGAAACATTGATATTGTACGTTCTATTTGTTCGATGCTTTCGAATTTACATTATTCTAACTTTTATCGGTTTTTATCTAGACCTTTTAGAATACAATCAGAAAAAGAACTAAAATTTTAATTTGCACATTTTTTGGTCGCACAATAATAAATTTGATATATAGGTTTTGTGTCGTAAATGTCTATGAAACTTGTTTGATCCAGAAAATAGAACGGCATTCAATTCTCATTAAATAAAATCCGTAAACAATGTTTGATTTGTAAATGTTGACTAACGTGTTCGAAAGAAAATTTTTATACTCTTCATTGAACAAAAAATAATTTTCTTAATTTTATGCAATAGTAGTTATTAATTAAATTTTGTTTCTAAAAATGATAAAATGTTATGTAAAAAATAATAATTTTGGCTCATCCAATTTATCAAATTTTTATCATAATTAGATAAATTGGATGAGTTGTTTGTAGGATGGGATCAAACGTATATGAAAATCGTATGTATTTGAATAAATAAACACATTTTATTATTCTAAATAATTTCATTTAAATTAAAAGATTTTTTGGTATATTGTAATTGTTCTATATGTGTGTCAAAACCAGAAATAATTTTCATTACAATGGTCTATAAATGTAGCAGTTTTTAAATGTGAAGACAGTTATCAAAACGCAAGTCTAATTGTGTAAAATATATTATGCACTTATATTCTTTTCAGTTAATGATTCTGTTCTTATAAAATTGAGTTAAATCGTGTGCTAGACACAATTTTCTTTTTCAAATTTTTTAAAAAATTTTGATTGTTCTCGCTAAATTCCAATTTGGCCAGTATATTTCGATAAAGTTAATTGAAAAAGTGAATGTTAATGTTAATTTTATAGGCAGCAGGAACTATAATTATTTTTAATCTCTTGGTCTGCAGTTGTCCTTTTATATGACGAAAAAACGGAATTTTAAACACTTTCAGTACATACATACACATAATTAAATTCTTGTTGTGAATGCACTCGTGTTGATTCCTGAGTTTGAACGAAATTAAATTTTTTTATACCAACAATTTGACTATTCATTAGTTCAGCCACGTATTTAAAAATTTTTTAATTTTCTTTTTTAAATTATAATATAACGAAAAATTTCTCTTTCGGCAATATCATAATTTAATTTAATAACTAAATTTTGGGAAAAATTGCTATAATAAAAAAAAAACCTTTATAGTATCAAAAATTTCAATAAAACCAGCTGTAAAACTTTGTTAGTCAATTTAGAACGTGCTTCTATTACTCATGAAAGTGAAAAAATAATGTAAAATTTATCAAAATTAAAATTCAAATCGTTATTTAAAAGATATTGAAATTTATCTTCATTTATAAGACACACATTTAATTTTCCTTATAATAAAATTTTAGATTATCATACTAAAAAATTTTCTTTTATATTCAAAATTATGATTAATGGTAATTGAGCAAGAAGAAGGTACTTAAATTCATATAGAAATAAATCAAAAATTCATTTTGAACGTACAAAAATAATATAAGAATAAATTTGAATATCCTTATAATATTAAAATGGTTTACATTAATTTTGTATTTTTCAATATAGCGAAAAGTATTCATAAATTTTTTAAATTAATTTTTATGAAATATCAAGTGTAGACATAAATATGCATATTTTATTCTTTCATAAGGACTATATATATATATATATATATTTTATTGTAATTCTCTTATTGATGAGTATATGGGAAAAATGGCTTTTAAAATTGAGAACTTTGAAGTTGAAATAAATCAAACTTTATTGCATCTTAAAATAACTATATTTGGATTTAAATTAATTTATTTTATAGGTTACGATATTATAATTTTTATTTTATTATGATGATGCATATACGATAAGTTCGATCGTTTACATTCTATACTTAATAACAATATGTAGAATTTATTGGAGCATTTCACTTCATATAGTTCTTTTCTAAAATTCTAATTTTTTTGCAAATAATTTGATATTAAATCTAGACAATGTTCAGCAATAAATTGAGTTTTTCTCTAAATTCTTAAGTGAGTATTTATTAATATTTTTAAGTTAATATTATTACTGGAGCTTTGAATTTCGGAAAATTCAAAATACTATTCATCTGAATTTAATTTGAATTTTATAATCAAATTTCGCTTAACATATTTATTCTAGTTTAAACTTTAATTATGCCAAGGTTTTAATGTTGGTTTCGTCTTAACAAAACATTAAAAATAATTGTTGTTTAATTTCGCCGCATAAATTTTTGTCATAAACAAATTTGTTGGTACAATTTAGGACAAATAGAGAAATTTACTACACTTACAAAATTCATGTGTTTTTTAAAGAGAAAATATCAGGCTTAATATTTTCTCTTTAAAATTTCACGTGTAAAATACACTCGAATACTTATGTAAAAACAAGTAGGATTTCATATTATAATTTCAATAAAAAAATTCAATATTTTCGAATCATTTAATAATCTTATTAAAAATTAACATTTCCATAATTTCATATTTAAAAATAAATTTTAATAATAATTGTGTACTTTGTTTTTTCCAACACTTTAATTGTGGTATACTTTAAGACGTAATTTAATTTAAAGGATAATCATTTATTCAAACATTAAAAATTATTGTAAAACAATTTGTTTTTTTTAATTAAATTCATTAAAAGTGTAAAATTTTAATTACATTGAAAAACAATATTAGATACTATATATATAAGAATTATATAATTATATAAAAATAATAATTACCTAATTTAAAGGTTAATTAAAAATTAATTAATTGATTGTTCAGTCAAAAATTATATAGCTTGCAGCAATTTTTAATAATTTAAATAAAATGTCATCACAATTATCAAATAAAATATTTTCATTCACTGGATTTTGTTATTTATCGATACTAACATTTACCATAATGTTATTGGTACAACAGCCATTACCGTTAGCAAGTGCAACAAGAGGTGATGAAAAAAATCTTACTAGATTACTAAACAATCAAGTACTTGTTAGCAAACAAATCATGTGTGTTCTAGAGAAGAGCCCTTGTGATCAACTAGGAAGACAATTGAAAGGTAAAATTAATAAAAATTTTATTGATATTTTATATATTTATTTATTTACCACTTATAGAATTTAATTCTTAAATAGGATATTTATTTACTTCATAATAAAACAATAATAGTCACGTCATGTTCTTGATTTATTTTCATTCTTGATATTTCTTAAAGTGATGATTTTCAATTATTTTTTGTTTTATTTGGCATTCTATTTTTAAAAATTTTGAACAAATTTCCAAGAGTTAATTTAAGGTGACCATATGCACAAACATTTATATTGTGTTGTGTTACCCGATTTTCTAAATTTAAATTATGGTATTAAACAAAATTATTCAAAATTATGGTTATATTAAAGGTAAATTTCTTAAAAATAATATTCACCCATACGCTATTTGACAGTATAACAGAGATAAATTGCACTCTTGTTTTTTTCATTTGCGGAATTTAAATTTGTTCGTAATTCCTTATCAATTAGTATTTATATGGCTACTCCTAATTACCACCTTTTATGTAGTTGTAAATTAAAAGAAAAAAAAACCTTCTTTATGGATTGAGTTGCATATATGTATTTATTATTTTTCTTATAAAACTTATATTACAAAACTTATGTCGGTTCTAATAAAATTTTTTGGCAGAATGTTCTAATACAAATTATCTTATGATATTGAATTCAGTGTGACTAGCTCCACTATAAGGAGAAATGGTCTATTTTTTGAGTATTGCGAATTTATAGTACTTTAAAGACCTAAAACTTTACAAAGTCTTAAAATCTAAAATTTAAAAGTGAAGACCCACCACCATAAACATTTTGATAAGATTAAACATGAAATTTCTTACAAAAAAAACACGCATTTGTGAATATAAGTGGTGTTTAATCTTAAACGGAGTAAAAGTTTTATAAACAGACAGACGGATGAGAGGACCTGATATTATTATAATTTTTGTATTGACAAATTGGAAAAGTAAGAGTAAATAAAATTCTATCGCATTTCATTGCTAATTGGGTTTGTATATGACAAAATTGTAAAGTAAAAACTTGAAAGCTGTTCAAAATAGCTCCATTGACATAATTAAATGAACTCTAATTTATAGAGGAAGGGATAATAAGTGTAAAATTTCTAAAGGGGGGCAATTAAATTCTTTGTTCCTGTTTATAAATCGCATACCTTTGATTTCTAATCCAAATATTTATTTGTGTTAAATTAAAATTAATTTTAATGTACAAATTTATGACAATTTTAAAGAGTTTATAAAATGATTTCATATTTTATAATTATTGTTCAATTTCTCGAATATTTTCTCTTCCACATACAAATCAAATTTAACATATAAATATTTAAAATTTTAATCAACACTAGTACTAATTCCAAATCAAACCGAAAATGGAGCAATATTTAATTCAACCCGACAATACACATACTCTCTTCTTTTTGATTGCAGAAACCATTCAACTCCCTTAAAGTTTAAAACAAAAATTAAACAAACAAGTTTTTATTGGATTTTATTTCTCTTTCATAATATTTATTGCTGTGTGTTCTTTATTGCATCCAATTCTCTAAATACGAGTTAAAATAAGAATTTTTTTCAACTTTAATTAAAAAAATTGAAACTTTTTATTGAAAAAATTATGTTATAAAATTTTATAAGTTTAATACATTTTTAAAATATACATACAAACATACATATATAATATGAAAGGAAAAAGAAATAATGAAAATTCGAAGAAAACTTGGAAAAACCTCATAAGCGTCAAAATTTTGCATACACAGTGTACAAATATCTAGATGTACATGACTGCATATATAATAAACATTTAGATGAATAAAAAAAAATTTAATATAGTGATAAATATATATATGTACACATATATATATAGGTACTTCATACTCATGAAAATTATGCGGTGACTGACAATATTTAATAAAGTAGACTTGAAAAGAAAGGGACTTAATTTTGAGGAAACACGTGACGCATAATTTATAATTTAATATACACGAGTTCTTTTATTATATTTCATATTTTTTTTTTTTTTGACGACGTGAATTTGAGTTTTTTTAATATTGTTCTGCTTTGGTTTTTCCTTTTTCCAACTTGTCAAGAGAGTGTACTTTAGTATATATTTATTTCGCGATTCTACAATATTATATTCTTAAAAAACTCTTAACAGTCTGAAGGGTATATAAAATAAAAAAATTTGTGAAGAAAGGAAACAAAAAAAAAAAAGACACTATGAATAAAAAAATTTTTTTTTTAGATGCTTGTGTGAGGATTTTATTTTCAAGGGTGTAAATTTTTTGTTATATTAAAATGAATAAAAATAAAAGTTTGTGCATTTTAATATCTTATTGTTGTAGGGGAATTATAATAATCGTATACACAAGTGTCTAGGTTTTAGGGTTTTCGAAATAAGTTCTTGTGATTTCATTATGCTTGAGTAAGATTTATATTATTTGTTCCTGTTTTTTGGATCACATGTTTTTCCAAAACTGTATACCCTATGGATTGTGTCTTTATTTTGGAAGCTCTAAATGATGCATGAAGTTTTTCTAGTTACCTTTTTTTTGTAAAATTTGCACGTGCATTAAACTGCAGAAACAACCTGTTACCTATTGTGAAATTTGGTATAAGCTTTATTAAACAAATTTTTATGAATTTTTAAGGAATTAGTTTTTAATATTTTAAAATTCTAGATGTCGTATTTTTTGTGTTTTTTTGTAATTGTAAATTTATAAGAAAATTTGAAAAAAAATGTGAATCGAAATATCTGCGGATCAGCTTACAAAATTCCAACTGCTTGGTAGAAAACTTAAATTTTATATAAAAATACTTTTTTGAGTTGTAAGTCGTTTTGAAATTTTTGCAATTTTGATTAACATTATTGCCTTTGAAATGCATAAAATTCATTGAATTTTCAACCAAAATGGTAAAGTGGCTCCAATCTTTATTTTGATTGAGTTAATAAATTAATGAGAATGATAATTAACGGCCCAATTCTACGCTTCTCTGTTAATAAAAAATTAATTTTGGAACATGTGACGAAAACTAAGAAAACATAGACGAGAGAATAATTTCAGTAGAAAAATTTGAAGTTTAGGTTGGAAAAATTAAGTAGTCGTCTTCCTGTTTTTTTAATAAATGGCTCAAAATTTAAATTAAATTTTAGTAAACTCAGACACTATTTAAATTTTATTTTTTTAATAGTATATTTGAAAAATAATTGTTTACGGACTTTTTTTTTGGTGTTATGTTATGAATGTAAAATAAATTGCTCGAATTCATTTTATAAAAATTTATTTTCAAAAATGTTGTTTTATTCTATTTACCAAAAAAATATTTTTGATAAATTGTAAATTTTAATTTTTTCGCGTTTTTCCTTTAATATTTTTACTGTTATGTGCATAGCTGCTAACTTATGATTTCATTATTATTTTTTAATATTCGTTTTGGGAAAAATAACTGTAATTAAAGTTTCATTCTATAAAGAGATATTTCTTATTTTTAAAGCACATATTTTTGACAATTTAAAATTATAATTAACATAATTAAGATTTATGTGTTCTCTGATAGTCTCATAACAGAATATCATGTACGTGTATGTGCTGTGCATACCCGTATATACGTATATTTTATTCTTACTTAAATAGTCTCTATAGATTAAGTTATGCACTTATTTATAATATATATATATATGTATATTTAGATGTGCACATAATATTTTCTTAAATAAGGTATCAAAATCCTTGAATCTGCATTGTAGAAATACGTAACATGTTAGTATACATTTTAATATATTGTACATAAACAGAAACGAGTAGCTTTTATATAAAATTCTATACTATTTATATATGTATATAATCTATGTTATTACTTAGTTAGAAGATTAAAATTTTGAAAATATGATTTTGTTTTTACATATCATTGAATTTTAAATTAATTTCAAAGAAACTGCAGATAATATCAGAAATAATGTATGCAAATTTTATGTACATATTCATATGGAAAAATAAGACAGTGTTGATAATAAGAAAAAATTTCCTGTGATCAGCATATAATTGGCTGCATTGAGCATTTTTTGAACAATGCAAATTCGAATAAATGTGTTTTTATAATAGTCAAGCGAAACAGTTTAACTACATACGTATGTACGAGAAGAAAATATGTAATTGTTGTATCACATTACAAAAATAAATTCAGATATGAATTTGTGAATTTTAAAGTTTTGATTTGTCTGTCGAGAACTAAAGCACTGTCTTTGAAAATCCGACACATAATTTGGTGCCATCACAATATCCCACTTATTGTATGCAATGTGGTCCTATTGTTTTCGTTCTAATATTTTAATTATATTGTTTTTCGATGCCATTTGCATTTAATTAAATTAAATAATCGTCTTTGTGAAATGTTTTGTGGTAGGTATTCGATTTAGATATGTGGTTTCTAATGCTTTTGTTGTATTATCCATAAATAAGTTCTACAAGTTGATCAACAAGCATAAATTTCATGTAACTTCTGCAGTTTGTATAATAATATAAGAAAGAATCTTACGCATTTGAATATACATACATATTATTATAGTATGATTATTTGCATAACTATATGTATATGTATTTGAGGAATATATAGTATTGTGTAAAATATAAATTTTATTGCTGCCTTTAAGTGCATTAAATAACTTTAATTAAATTAAGCAGAGATGAATGAACGTTGATTTTATATAGGCAAAATTGAATAGTTATGTAATTATCATAAAATAATTTAAATTTTTTAATTGTGTTATTTTATTTAACAGAATTTAATTGTTTTTTAATATTTTTTCTCTACTATACTTTAATGATTCGTGTAAAAGGCAAATTCAAAATAACTAAAACTTTGAAACCATTTATGTGGAATGGTATGTGATAGTCATTATGGGATTCATACAGCACAATAGTACTTCTGTTATAAGAGAAATATTGTAGTTCTTTTCAGACTTCGATGAACATTTCTGATTTTGTTTTTATTATTTAAATAAGATA